ATCTAGTGTTACACAAACTCAAAGACCTACAGGCAAAAACTAACAAGTTGGAAGAAAAAAGCAGCAGAGAAGACAGGACTCCAGGTGAACATATGGAAGGCAGAGGTGATTACAGCGACAACCAGCACCAGTTACTGTCAACGGCAGGAATTTGAAGATGGGTGGAGGGGGGGTTCTTCTTTCTCTTATCTAGGCAGCATCCCTTCAACTACAGATGGCACGAATGAGGATGGTAAAGCCAGCCAGGATCGGAAGAGCAAGACAAACTTTCATTAATCTGAAATTTATGTGGAAATCTGCCGCAAACTTTTGTCAACAGCTGCCTTCACTGCTTCTATACTGATGACCAACTGGGAAGGACTAGCAACAAGATACTCTTGGAAGAAAGCAACCAAGAACCTTTTGCCTAGAAGAAACTGGAGATTGACCGGATAAATGCTTAGGAGACCATTGACTGAGATCACGCGAATGCTGTCGAGTGTAACCTGAGTGGAAACCGGTAAGTTTAGTGCCAGATGTGACGTGGATGGAGAAATGAGACCTTATGCGCAATCGTGGATCAAGCCATAGAGGACCTGCAGAGAACATGATAAAGTGGTGATGAGCTGTTAAAGCACTAGGCTCCACTTGGGACCCAAAGGAATAAAATAAATAATAGTAATAGTTAACTGTGACTAATCTTACTACACTATTTCTACTGGTTTATTGTGCCTAAATATAGACTGTCTCCATACACGCTTGCATATTATTACAGAATTAACTGAATGGGAATCGGGTGCATATTCACAACTGGTTAAACAGGAAGCTCGTTCATCTTGATGAATAAGTAATAGCACAACTCAACAGACACATAACCGACAACGGTGATCGTCTTCTACAGTTCTGTTCAGATAATCATCTGTCCTAGTCAACACTAACTTTAAGCACAAAGAGAGACACTGAGTAACCTGGCGATCTCCATCACTAAATCAACGCTGGACTTAGATAGACCACATAGCGATAGGGTATCGTTGGCGAGGATCAGTAGAAGGTTGCCGACCCTTCTGGAACACTTGCGTAGACTCTGATCACGCCCTTGTTCGCGCACGTTTATGCTGACGATTAAACGGAAATAAAAAAATTTTGGCAGCGAAGCAGTTACGTCCCCAGCCAGGCCGAGACTCTGAGTCTTATTTAAGGAAGAAATAGCTTCAGAACCCCGCTAACTGATTACCTCTCCTAACCTGAATATTACTTACCATATTATACCTCCCAACATTGGAGATAGAACGCAGATATCTAGCCTTTTCATATCTCCCACTTTGTAATGACCATGTCTCATAGCCATAAGGTTGGCAGATAAGACTTCCTGTGATAATCACAGTGGCATTAGCTTGACTAATATCTATGGTATCTAAAGTTCTAGGCGCAATAATCATGCGTAGACTAAGTGGTCCACGGGAGGCACAAACACCAGAGAACCAGGCAGGCTTGCGACTAGGATGAGGTGTATTGATCATATCTTCACCCTTCGCCGTCTCTGGCGTAGACGTGATATCCGGTTGGCTGGCTGTCGACCAAAGGGCAGGTGCACTGCTCATCAGTCCGACCCATCCTCCTTTATGGCTGTGAGATCTGGCCATTGACAGTGGAAGATATGAAAAGACTGGCCAGCTAGCTGTCTTTGATCATAGGCGTTCACGCTCTATCTCCCGTGTGAAGTGGTATAATAAGGTGAACAATATTGAGGTTAGACATCGGCTGAGTGCTAGGTAAGTGGGAGGGGAAATCAATGGACGAGACTGTGAAGCTACATCGACTGAGATGGTTAGGACATGTGTTCCGCATGCCTAGTCATCACCTTCCTCGACGGTCAATGTTAGCTGACATAGGGTCAGACTGGAAAAGAGCTAGCGGCGGTCAAACGGAAACATGGCCTCATCAGTCAATGAAATCCACAACAGTTAGTTTAAGCCAGACAAGTAGGAAAGTGTAGACTGGCTGACTTCCTGGTTGGGGTCCACGGGACTGTAAAAACCAATGAAGTCTGGGGACAATTGGTGATATGGCTCAAAGTGATCGTTCTCAACGGCTGGCTGGAGCAGATGCATCCACTCCTTGTGACTTATGATTTCCAATGAAACTGTTTTGTTCTTCGTTATTACTATTCCTTTGTCTCACACCTCTGTTTACTGTCTCCAGTATGCATTTCTCCTCTTGCTTTGTGTGGTACTTGGAGTGTGGTGACTTGAACTGCTGCACATCGGTACAAAGTTCTATGTTGAAAACAGACAGATAAAGTAGGACACAAAGAACTTCTGCACAGCACACACTCCCTTTATTCAATAGCTGGATATTACGTCTACGCCAATTTTGATGTAAGTTGGAAAATACTTTGTACAGATGCTGAAATTTCATTAGCAATCAATCAGTTGGGGCTGATGCAACTTCCTAAATGAATGAACTGGTCAACACGTTCTATCACTTCACTCCTTGTTTTTAAGCTAAAAGTCGATTTAATCTATTCCTGTAGCATCATCTTACATTTGACAGGGGTGAATAGGATGACAAACACACGAAGACTGCTGTTCCAGGTCTTAAGAAGGCTGCATTTTGTTAGCGTTTTTGCCTAGAAGGTCTACATTATCCTCATATTCTAAGTCAACGAGATTACACCCTAGTAACACGTCAATCCCTGAATTCACTTAGGGTCAATTCCATCAATATATCCATGATGAAACTAAACAGAAATGGGGATAGTGGGCACCCTCACGGACAGTGCTATTTGTCATCACTACAAATGATAATTCGCCATAAGCTCTAATATGACTGAGTGAGTTAGAGTGGAATGTCTTCACTAGTTTGACATGGCTTTTCGGGATTCCTTTCATGTTAGGATATCGCCGTAGAAACCATCGATCGATCGAGTCGAATTCCCCTTCAGATCTAGAAATATGACAACTGTTTGATACCAGTAAGTATGCCTATGCTCTGGTATTTGTCGGAGAGTCAATATATGACCAATGCACCCCTTCCTGGCCTAAAGCCTGTCGGGTTTTCCCAAGCAACTCTTAGTCTACGCATGATTACTCAACCTAGAACTTTAGATACTATATTAATAAAGCTTATCCTTCTATGATTATCACAGAAAGGCTTATCTCCCTTATGACCTGCGATAAACAATGAACTACAGAAGTTTACAGGAACTGTCTCTGATTCCGAGACTTTGCCCAACACCTTAGTTAATCCAGACAACAGTTTGTCACCACTGTCTGTCTGTGTGTTTTCGACATAGAACTTTGCACCGATGTGCAGCAGTTCAAGTCACCACACTCCAAGTACCACACAAAGCAAGAGGAGAAATGCATACTGGAGACAGTAAACAGAGGTGTGAGACAAAGGAATAGTAATAACGAAGAACAAAACAGTTTCATTGGAAATCATAAGTCACAAGGAGTGGATGCATCTGCTCCAGCCAGCCGTTGAGAACGATCACTTTGAGCCATATCACCAATTGTCCCCAGACTTCATTGGTTTTTACAGTCCCGTGGACCCCAACCAGGAAGTCAGCCAGTCTACACTTTCCTACTTGTCTGGCTTAAACTAACTGTTGTGGATTTCATTGACTGATGAGGCCATGTTTCCGTTTGACCGCCGCTAGCTCTTTTCCAGTCTGACCCTATGTCAGCTAACATTGACCGTCGAGGAAGGCGATGACTAGGCATGCGGAACACATGTCCTAACCATCTCAGTCGATGTAGCTTCACAGTCTCGTCCATTGATTTCCCCTCCCACTTACCTAGCACTCAGCCGATGTCTAACCTCAATATTGTTCACCTTATTATACCACTTCACACGGGAGATAGAGCGTGAACGCCTATGATCAAAGACAGCTAGCTGGCCAGTCTTTTCATATCTTCCACTGTCAATGGCCAGATCTCACAGCCATAAAGGAGGATGGGTCGGACTGATGAGCAGTACACCTGCCCTTTGGTCGACAGCCAGCCAACCGGATATCACGTCTACGCCAGAGATGGCGTATTGTCACCACTGTCCTTAAGTACCTCTGAAGTCATTTCATCAGACCCTCCTACCTTACGTCTGTTTAGACTAGAGACACCCTTTGTAACCGCAGTTACTGTTGGAAGACCGATATCGTTACTACTGTTTGAAACAGAGTAATTATTATAATCCATTCATGTAGATATTGGATGCTGGGCAAATTGAGTATGGCTTTGGACTAGTTACATTGTTACTCAAAGTATCCCTCTCTGACATTCCAGTTTCCTATTCTGAGAGAAAGCTGAAGCGCTGCTTTACTTACATAAATTGTCTTACTATTTGACCTTCACAACGCATTTCCCTAATAAGCGTGGATAGCTGTGTAGTGTTACCTGACCCCGCACACAAGCACAATGACCGAAGATGAAGAGAAATTTACCCTGTAGTAGGATTTAACACTCAAGAAGTCACTTGTTATGGTGTAGCAATCACGCTGACGCAAACCATTATATTACACTTAAAGACTACCTTCACTCCCCATCACCTGTAGCCTACTTATGTAAGGTCATTGACTTCATGACTACCGAATGAAATCCAGACGTAAGGTAGTCGATTTCCAACTAAGTTATGCTTGAATATAAGACATGCAGAAAAGAAAAGCCAATCAGCCTGTTCTTCACAAATATGAAATGTTTATCATCTCTCCCTGTCTCTCTGGTCGTTCACTTTAGAAATTACAATGAAAAATTATACAAAAGTGTTTAAAAATTAGGTTTTGAAACCATCACTAGCAAATAGACATTTCATATAAACCAAACCAGTTACACTGTTGTGAAAAATAACCAAAACAAAGATTCGACTAAGGATATTTTTGAAAAAAAGCATTCCATGTTCTTCTTGTTATGTTTGTGTGTGTGTGTGTGTGTGAGTGCGTGGGGACGTGTAAAAGTTATTCATTATTCCACTAAAATATACACAATATATATACATACAATAATATGATAGTTGAAAACTGTTCATCAGTCATCTTCATCTTTTTCATAATGAATAGTAACTTTACGTTTCTTTGTAGGATTCGCCAAAACAAGATTATGTTCTGCCTCTTCCTCCCGCTCCTCTTCCTCACCACTGTCTTCGTCAATAGCAGCAATATCTTCAATATCTTCTTCTATATCTGACCCTGAAGTGTAGGCGATCTCTTCTTCATCATTCTCTTCGTATTCTTCTTCGTCTTCAGATTCTTCATCGTGTATTTCTTCAGCTTCTAAAGCTTTTTCAAATGCCGACTGATCAATATTATATATTTCTTTAGATGAAGTAGATGCACGTAACCGTTCGAGTAGCTCTTGTTCTACAGTTCTTTCAATTCGCGCTACACGTAATGCTTTAGCTTCTCTTCTTAATTCACGTTTCTCTACTGTACGATTAATTGGTTCTAATTTTTTCTGTCTTGACAAAGCTAAACGTCGCATATTTTTAAGATAATCTCTTGTACGAAAATAGCGTTGTTTTACACGACTTATTAGCCACTTATCCCAGTATAACATATGCTCTTTAATCTGTTTCAATGCCTGTTCTTTATTCCGATGTAGCTTAATCCGTTCCCATTGTTTACCAGGATAGGGGATACGTTCAGGCTCTCTAACATACAAGTAGATAATACCATCTCTTTCTTTAATTGTTGCATATTGAGAATTAGCCAGGGACATGAATGTCGATTACACAACCCTGTGACATTATCACCATTTCTACAGAATCGACCGGTTTTAGTTTTAACGACGAATGAACAAAATGAATGATTGATTGTATGCCATATGACATCATCGTTGTTCATTTTTTACTGCTAGCTGAAATGTTGAATAAACAAAAGATAAGGAGAAAGACATAGAACTGGATCTTACTCATAGTTATAAATATTAGAAATTATTTTATTGGTTAAAGAAACAAACAAAAAACCCTGTAGAGTTCATTTTAAACAAAAATCAGTCAATCAATATATACAGTGATATATATATATATATATATATATATATATATAAATCCTTTAATTCCTAGAGGAACATAGGGCTTCAGCTGCGCGTCTCCACTGCCTTCTGTTTTCTGCCAACTTTTTCACTCCGCTCCGAGTCTACCCACATGCTTTCATCTCCTCCAAGTCACCCTCACAGTGATGACCAACTCGCCGCTTCCCTTTCGGGTTCCACTCGAATAATGGCCTGTCTAGTGATGTCACTTGATGGTTTCCTCAGTGTATGGCCAATCCATCTCCATTTCTTCCTGCCTATTTGTTTCACAATCGGTCCCTGGTTGGTTCGCTCATTGCCAGAGATCCCTGTTTCTGATCTTTTCTGGCTGGCCATCTGATCTTGAGTATTGAGCGAAGACAACTGTTAATGAAGGTCTGTAGTTTGTTTGAGATGCTCTTTATGACGCGCTGGCCAAGTCTCTGATTCGTATAGTAGCACTGACTGACTTCACATTCGAGTTGAAAATCCGGATCTTATTTTTGATTCTGAGTGCTGTCGACCTCCACACAGACTTAAGAGTAATGAAAGCTTGTCTTGCTTTTCCGATTCTGGCTTTGATATCCTCGTCAGTTCCGTCGGCCTGTAGTTGAAACGATGCTTCCCAGGTAGGTGGGTAGGTAAAGGAAATTGTTTCTTTCAGGTTCCTCCCATTTATGCTTATTGTCGTCTGTGGTTGTTGCTGTTGGCCAGGAATCTCCATCACCTCTTTTTTATCTATGTTCACCTGAAGTTCTTCCTATCTTTGATGCTTCTTCTGCCAGCCTGTTGCTTTTCACTTGCATATCTTTCAGTTTGTGGGAAATCAGACGTGAATCATCAGCGAAGTCCAGATCCTCCAAGTTTTTTGTGTGAGTCCATTTTATGCTTGTTTCCTCATTGCCCGCCGTTGTCTGTCGCATTATCCAGTCTAATGCAATCAGGAAAATCATTGGTGATAGTAGACAGCCTTATCTCATTCCCGTCCTCACTTTAAAGGCCACCGTAAGTTTCCCGTTGTGGATTACTTGGCGTGCAGCATTGTCGTATAACTGTTGGATGAGATGTATAATTGTCGATGGGACCCCGTAGTAGCGAAGTAGTTGCCAAATGAACTCTCGATCGACGCTGTCGAAGGCCTTTTCATAGTCGATGAAGTTGAGATAGAGAGGTGACTACCATTCCAAGCTTTGCTTAATGATGATCCGTAGTGTGGCGATTTGATTAATACATGACTTGTTTCTTCTGAATCCAGCTTGTTCCAGTCGGAGTTTTTCATTCAGGGCTTGTTTGATTCTCTCCAGGATGATGCGGCTTAGTATTTTGCTTGGGATGGACAGGAGCATAATTCCACGCCAGTTTTTGCATTGACTTAAGTCTCCTTTCTTTGGTAGTTTGAATAAGTATCATATATATATATATATATATATATATTATACTAAACACTATTCCGAACAATAATGACCATATACAATGGAAACTTTCGACATTACGTGATCAGATGAAAGATAGGGTGAAAATATCCAGTTACCAGACAGAGCAAGGAAAGACTGATAACCGCTTCTTTCTGAACGCACAAGTCAGGCTTCAGGCGCTTGATGGAGATTGCTGCTTCAGCAAACTTGAGGAAAATTGAACTCTATTATAGATAAGACTTTATTTTGATAAATTACACAGTGTTGTGCTATACCATGTTTCGAGCACAAACTATTGCCACTCACAATCATATCAAGGCACCTACTCACAACTTTTTCCTTGATTTATATACATGTGTGGAATCAAATAGATATTGGAATAAAAATCAATATAGGATAATGTACATTCTTGGGGTTGACCCTGAAAAGATAAGTAATTTAGAAAAAAGCTCGGCAATTGCACTTCATGCATTAACACAAAACAGGGTGGGAGAGGGTTAAAATTCTAAAAAGCAATCTAGGTAGGTGGAGAGAGAGGTTGATTACTGAATCCTTGTTCATCGAGTCTACGCCCAACACATGCAACAGAAATGACTCAATGCAAATACTAGAAATATGGAAGATATTATTACCACCAGTCAGTCAAATCAGAAGAGGATAATAACTAATCTCAAAATTCTATTTCAATTCAGACACATCACAACATTCTAACAAAAAACTTATTATGACTATAAAATCACTCGTCCTATTTCCCATTTGATTGTGAATGATCAATAACACTCATATTATTATTTCTGAATGCACATTATCTTATATTAATTTTTATTCCCATATCTAATCAATGCCACACATGTATATAAATGAAGCAAGAAAATTGTATGAGTAACTTGATATTTTTTTAATTTTTTGATTTTTTTTTTTTGATTTACAGCTTGATTCCACACTGTATTTTTGGTACAAGTATGGAATTTTCAGCATGGATATCGGTAGCCCAAATTTTGCAGGCCAACCATAGATATCAGGTGTGCGTCGGTGCAGGCTCGAACCCCGGACCGTATGCATGGTCGGCGAGAGTCCTAACCACTGTGCCACCGACGCATGATTATGAGTGGCGATAGTTTGTGCTCGAAACGTGGTCATCAGTTAATATTACTGTACAACACTGTGATTTATCAAAATAAAATCTTATCCATAATGGAGTTATGCTCTACCACAGTTTCCAAGGAGAATTGAACTCTTTTGCCTATTGATAAATTTTGAACGATTTCGCGACATCCTTCTTATGTCTCCTTGACAGGAGACACCTGGCGATGGCATTGTTTAGAGCACTTGTTCCCTTTGGACATAAACTTTTTGGTACATACTCACAAAATCGTAGATATGCCCTTCTTCGTTCTGTCCTTCGAATGTAACTGCTCTCACAGATACATGTAAATTTGTATATACAGTTGGAGTTAACATGAGAAGGATATCTATCAATTTTCGATTGCACCAAAGGAGAGCAAGAAGGGGACAAGCTTAGCTGCAGGATAGGCCCTGACTGGTGACGTACCACTTTATTCTGCAAAAACCGCAGTTCTTGTTCTATTTAAAAGAATAAACAAGATTCATTTTGCAGTATCTTCTTACGCATTACCCGCAGAAATACACTTACAAGATGAGTTTCTAGCTCATTTATGCTTAAGGGTGTTTTTACAGCTAATAAACAGGTCAAAAAGGATAGTATTTATTTCTTTAGGCGTTAGATGGTTAGAGGCGATTGGCATAAAGCAGTGAACCTAGTTTTCGTGCTTGTCGGCACTCGTACCTGTAACCTTCAAAGAACTCATGTCTGCTCTAGGTTTCTGACTTGTATCGCACAGTGTTGCAGTCAGGGATGTTACCACTGAACTACTTGTGCTCAAGACTGAGCCACTGTAGGATTGTGACTGATTGGTTTCAACAAAGAACTTTGAGCAGAAGTACAGTATGTTGAGTTGCCAGAAAGCACAGAAAGGAAAATAAAAAAGAGATTTGAAAGAACAATAATGGGTAGAAATTTAGGGGAGGAAGAACAGGGTTTTATTGGATATGGCAGATCAAAAAGAGTAAATGTATCTGCGCCAGCCATTGACAACGAGGATTTTTAGCCATATCATCATTTGTCTCCAGCCATCATTAGTTCTTAGCATCTCAAGGACCCCAGCCACACGGGTAGTCTACACCGCCCTGGCTTAAAATAACTGTTATGGATTTCGTTGACTGATGAAGCCATGCTTTGATTTGACCATCACTAACTCTTTCCCAACCTGATCCTATGTCAGTCAGCTAACATTGACCGTCGAAGGTGATGGCTAGGAATGCATGCGTAATAAATGTCCTAACCATCCCAGTCGGTGTAACTTTACAACCTCGTCATTGATTTCCCATCCTAACCTAGTGCTCGTCGCCTAAAATCAATTGTATTCACCCTACTATGCCACCTAACACGGGAGATAAAACGCAGACACCTATGACCAAAAACAGCCAGCCTTTTTTATATCTTATACTTTCAATGGCCATGTCTTATAGTTATAAAGGAGGAACGAGCGAACTGCTCAGCAGTACAGACGTTTTTTGACTAAAAGCAAGACATCACTATAGCATTGAAATAAGGATAAAACTTGGGCACTGTCGTAGAGTGTATTTCCATTATGATTGGTTACTATGGTTTAACCTCATGTGTTGTTCTTTAACTACTGGTCACATTAAACGAAGGCCTTGATTGAAGTAAAATACTACGTTGAAATTTGTCAATTAGAAGGTGAATACCGAAACATAATGTCAGCAGATTTTGCGAAGAATAAAAGGAAAACTGATTGGAACGCTTGTCAAAACTAGGTTGATATAAGAAGCTTTGTAAAACATTCTTCAGGCTTCTGAATACTTAAATTTTGTCTTAACAGGAGTAGAATAGATAAGTAATTCATTCGTTTGTTAAAATTTTAATATACTGTCCAGCCATTTTAATACACCATACGTAAAGGCAATGCCTTTGAAGTCTTGTTGGGATTTAGTTGAAATAGCAAATAGGCGTTGTGGACAGTAAATAAAACAACAGACCAGTATACAATACATTATCAAGCGCATATGTTGACTTAAAATATATTGTTAGTGGCCTAACGCTTCATCGCCTAAGGAACTCAACTTTTTAAACGCTGAATTGCGACCGAAAGCTGCTACCTTGACGTGGTGGTCGGGCTTGAACACCGCAATGACCTAATCAAGCTATACTGGCTGAGACTTATGTCTCTTGAGGTTCTACCATGCCAG